ACATTTCAGCACAGACAGACACTTGAACCTCATGACAATAGTCAAGCAGAAGCAGCTCGTCTGCACAGGCCTGTCATTGTTAGACATGTTGTTAATTAGATCTATTATGACCTCAACAATCACATTAACTGCCATTAAGTTCACATTAACCACCAACTGTTCGATAATGAAATCTCCAATTTACGTAAATGGAGTGAGAATGATGACATGGCTGATTAAGTTTATGTGGAAACATAGCTCAGATCATCTTTCCTGATAATAATTCAACCACGCACCCATGATCTTCTCATAAAATATTGCATTTTTAGGGAAATAGATGGAGTTGTTAAAAGAGTGGCACGGAGATATAAAACTGTGCTTAGCTATGGTTTGAAATTGGATACTCTGAATCTGTATCTTTGTATCTTTGACCTTGGAGCCACATGTGAGGGGTGAAAAGCTTTTTCTTTCAGTCACCCTTTGCTAAATGCTTTGAAACTACTTAGCATCTTCTGGTTCATGTACCTGCAGGGAACGGGCAGTCTGTCTCTAAAATGTGTATTTCTCTGTGCTGCGTGCTTTGGGCTCCTGATCACTGAAATAAGGCCACACTTTGTTGCATCAAAAACGAAAAAAGACTAGCAGCCAGCTGAAAAAGGAGACAGGCTGCAAGAAGAGAATCCACAAGCAGCAGCTTTGTAAAGACTGACATCTAGTGTCACAGCAGTGAAACCTCTTGTTTTAATAGTGCTGCAGTTCAGTCTGGTAGAGTATTTACCCTCTGCTAAGATCCAGTTCAATTTATAATCTTCAGTTTTTATATAACAGAAACCGAAAAAACAAAACTACTTATATAAGATCGTGTTAGATATTTAAAGCCTGTAAGTGACTGTGTTCCTTAGACTATATTGATAAAAATAATAAAGTAAGAAACTGCTTTTGCTTTGAATTGTTAATACAAAGTTACTTAACAGGCCAATGTCATTATTCTTATTTTAAGCTTCTTCAAAGAAATCCATCTTTACTTCTACAGCTAACTAGCTTAAGCTGTTAGCTTGTATGCTTTCCTCCAGCTTCGGCATCTTTGGACTCTGCAAAGCTTTCAGCTTCTTCTGATCCAACACTTTAGGCTGGATTAATTTCTGTTGTTTTAGATCTGCTGTATTAATAAAATGGAGTTAGCCTGACAGTTAATATGAATTGGTTATTATATGCAGACATTTAATACTTCACGTTTTTCCATTTCAATAAAATAATTCTTTTCAGTTTAGGTGTACTCAATATATTATTTGAATGGCTGAATATAGTCTATATCGGTCAGCTAAAGGAGCAACTAGAATCATCGCAGCTAAGTAGCTAAGCTAGCCTAGCTAATAAGCTAGCTAGCTGTAGGAACATCATAGGGATTTTTTAATTACTGTTTGGTTGCTCAAGTGTGATCATTTATTTAAAATGCAACATATTAATAAAATTTTTACATTTACATTTTCACACAATTACAGTTATACTGGATTTAAAGGCACAGGGAAGAAAGGTTAGCCAGATCACCCCATGCTCTCTCCCTATACCTGCCTTTGTGTTTCTGTTGTACAATTCACAAGCAAAAAAAAGAGTTTTAGCAATGTACTCGTATTCATCATAAATAAATCCAAATATGGCATTTTAATATGTGCTTATTGGATGCACCATTTAATTAATTTAATGATAAAGAATGATGCAATATAAAAAACAGACAGTATTGTACAGTGTCTCATGTCTTCCCATGAACATCAAAAACAAACAGAGTGCTCTTCAGGTGAACTATCAGGAGATGGTACTCTACTATGCTGACCTTACCTGCTTCCTTTCTCTTTGTATGTATCTGCTTTTCTGTCTCATACACACACACACACACACACACACACACACACACACACACACACACACACACACACACACACACTTACACCTGTACCACATTGAACTGCCAAAAAGTAGTGGATAAAACTAAGCAAATAAACAAATAATCAATAAAACGAATACAGTTACTTGTCTTCCAAAATGTTCTATCTATATATCTGCTTACATATGTGACATTAAGTTTAGCAGTGACAGAAATGTTTTCATTTTTTAAGTTTCTTTAATCAGCATTTTTTTGTGATGCTCTGCCAGGCCTTTTCTGCAGCTGTTTTTTGCTGCTTGTTAGTGAGTCTCTCTGCTTACAGTTTCGCAAACAGTAAAAGACGTCCAAGCTTTAAGATTGTTACATTTCTTTGCTTAAAGAAGCCCCTGGTTCAGTTTGTCACTATCCCCCTGTGTTGTGTGGCGCCACGCTATCACTTTTGCAGCAGTTGACTGAATCTGATCAGCGATTAATGCCCTAAATTTAGTTTCATGAATATTAGAATTTGCATCATTAGTGAACATTAGTGACCCAGTTCCATTTGCAGTCATTCTTTCCCTCTGCACACTCTACCCATTATTTTTAGTTAAAGTTCATCCATTTTCACCTGGCAGTTTAATCAGGCCTTTCTGTTCTTGAGTTACAGGTTTGCATCCTGAACTAAAACCTCTTTACATTCATGAAGGCGCCTCTCATACTTATATAACAATGAGCTTAATTTGCATAGCTAGAGTTTCTGTCAAATTCAAAACTCCAGAACTTTTACTGCTTTCACTGTCTAACTAGATATGAACCCAACTGTGATGCTCTTTTAACACATTTTTAATACTTTTTAAAATTCTGTAAAATTGATATTTCAAACCATGGTCTCAGATGACAGATTGAATTAATTTTTTAATTCTTTGCAGTGTTAGACCCAGTGAAATGTAGACTGGAGGACAAAAACCTGTTCCTTCCTTGGTGTCACCTCCCCATGCCTACTGCTGCTGCTGCTTCTGACTGACCTGTTGGGAGAGGCAGAACACATCACCCCCCCCCCCCCCTTTTCTCTCCCTAGCCAAACCATTAGCCATGAATTATGGTGCTGCTACCATCACGGCCAATTGTCTGGATGAAAAGCAGGCTCTGCCTCACTTACCGATCTGAGCTTTTGCCTCAACATCAGGTTCCCGATCATAGTTTCCGATCATCCCCTTGGCTCAGGTCAAAGCAGGTAAGCAAATGACATTTCACATAACAGGAAATGTGGGTTCGTGTGGAGATGCATGCTGGTGATTGATAGCAGCAGTGAGACCTGTTGTTAATCTGAAAGAGTCATTTTAATGCGTTGCCAGGCAATGAAAACACATTTGTACAGACTTTATGTAGCTACAGTAGATGCATGAATGGGCCAAATAATCAGTTGTACATGAAGATGTTTTTATCAGCTATTAGCTTTGTACCATATTTGTTGTTCATTAATGAATATGCATTTGTGACAGTGCTTTGTGACTTGACTTTCTTTATAGGGCAACTGCTGGATTTATGGACAGAGGCAAGGAGAGACAGAAGGAGGGAGCGAGAGAGACAGAAAGGGAGGGAGGGAGAGCAGAAAGCAGTATCTGTTAACAGGAAAACTCCTAACGTATCACTTGGGAAACCCGCAAGCAGATGTGGTGGCGGAGTGATGCAGGGACTGGACAGAGAGGCAAATTAGCAGACACAGCACAGTAAGTGTTCCTGGACGATTATTTTGCTTGTTATCTGGGGATTGTAACTGTCATGAGGAGACTGCAGTGTTGCCCAGAGCCAATTCGCAACCACCTCTGCTACTGCAAACACCGGACTGCTTGATTAAGTCTTGGCAAACAAACACAGGATCATCACTTTCTAAGATTTCAGTCTACTTTTAATGCATACAGTTTGAATAGTGGGTGCCATGACGACTTTTCATGCACCTGAATATGTTACAGGATATGTTGCAGTATTTGTTTTCATATTTCATATATATATATAAATATATATATATATACATACTTGTTTCAGGCACAACTCTTGAAGGTTAATATGTACATGCATACATAATTTTCATCTTTATTCTACAATATGTATTATATGCATGCACACATGCACACACTTACTGTGTAAAGATGTCATTATCTGTGTCTTACTTTTTTTGTCAGCAATAAACCTAAACAGATCTTCTATCAAGATTATTCATTAGCTTTGTCAGAGATCTTGTTCTGAATAGCCCAAAGAGGGCCGCTGTTGTACTTTTCCTTTCACGTGTGTTCTAGCAGTATTACTTTGCCCCACTTTGACAAACCAGGCATTTATTTGCTTGTTATGCACTGAGAGCACAGTAGCCAGATGGAGGCTGTTGATCTTGTTAGAAAGGTAGATGTGAAAAGACCATTACCTTGAACACAGCAAACACACACACACAGACACACGCACACAAATGCACCCATGTGTGCATACTCAAACACACGTACATACACACACACAGAGTTTAGTTCACCCTACCACTCACTAAGTAAGCTATACATAGGTTTCAGCACCTGTTGCACTTACAGTTATGAAGTGATCAGTCATGAAGACTTATTGAGTACAGTTTTAATTACATACATGAAAATTAGGACATATCTTAACAAGTTTTAATACTGTATTATTTCTTCCTGCAGTTAGAAAAGACTGAAGTATGGCACTGCAGTTTTAAGAACATGTGGCTTTGCATAGAGATTAGCAGCTAATTGCAAATGCTAGGCATGATGCATAATGGAGCAAGTGCTGACCTGCAGTGTTAATGATTAACCAAGCCTGTTATACTCCAGCTATCACAGTTGGTTGCTACGAGCTTGAGGAGACACGATAGGATGTTAGATGGCCAATAACTGATATGCCTGCACATATAAACAAGAAATATATGGCCTGCGTTGTGTATACACATAAAATTGGGAACTTATCTGTTTTTGTTTAGTGTTAATTTGAGCAGCAAAAATCAGGTCTGGTTTACAAGGATCGTTGTAATTGTGCTCTGAATAGAAAATGAGAGAATTTAAATGCACACTCACATGTTCCCCTTCCTGTCTGTGCTGGCCATTTGTGTACCTGTGTTTTGATCCAACCAGCAGGGCAGAGGCTTAATTTTACAGAAAAGATGGTGGGGCTGAGAAACCGCTCTACATGGGAACCACTGCTACTCAAAGCCTCCTGCATCAAATCTTGTGCTAATGGTTGCTCCATGGGCATCACTGCGCACCTTACCTATGCCAACGCTGACATAGAGTCTGTAGAAGGTGAGTACTAACTGCCAAGTTTAGTGTAGCTAAACTGTGATATTATAATATACCACGAGACACAAGAAAAATAGTTTTTGAGTGCAAAGGATAATGATAATCCCAGATTAAAATTGGGAGTGGGACAAGACTTGGCCCGTGAGGAACACCAGATACTTTGAAGTAAAGATGAAGAGTAAAAATCAACAAATCTCTTTCATGTTTATTTGTACTTTATCATTATCAAAGACATCTAAAACCAACATGACCAAAACTGGCCATTCGATGAAATAAACAAGCAAACATACAATAGTAGTATAACTATTAATTTTCTGTATATTCAGAATAACTGACAAGTTTTTTACTTCCTTTAATAATCAGGAGCCCCTGTATGAATGTTCCAGAAGACTAAACATAGTATTTGCTTTGCCCCTATTAAATTTGTTCAAAAAGCTGCCACTGTCTTACACATTATATGCCACGAAGGCAGCGCAGCAGGAGCTGATGGCACAAAACAACTTTAAGTCTTCTCCCTAAGTTTTCCTTGAAGTGTTTACTTTATTAAAAGCCCTTGATGCTCGCCTCTGTCAGTGCGCCCCAGGGTGGCTGTGGCTACAATGTAGCTTGCCATCACCAGTGTGTGAATGGGTGGATGACTGGATATGCAAAGCGCTTTGGGGTCCTTAGGGACTAGTAAAGCGCTATATAAATACAGGCCATTTACCATTTACCATTTATTCAAGTCAAGTAAGATTTTCTGCTTATCTTCTACTTAATGAATACCTTACAGCCAGTCAAAGTGATGCACAAAAGACCTAACTTACCAAGTAAGAAGAAGAAAAGACCTCAGGTAGCCAGATTTATTACAATAAGTGAGGAAATTAAAAAAAACAAATGTGTTTGTTGGATTCATTCCTTTACGACAGAGTAAACTTAGCACAAAATGTAAGGTAAAAAGCAAAGCAATTGTTGTTTATTTTACTGCTGAAAAATATCTTTCAGTGAAAAAATATCTTGTTCTTTGAAGGAAATTTGGTTAAGGAAAGCTGGGAGAAAGACACGCAGTGACCAATCTCAAGGGTAGATTTGAACCCAGGCTCTTCCATAAACCCTACAACAGCTCAGTCACCTATTCAACCCAGCAAGCTAAACTAGTATCCTGACAAAAGAAACGTATTAAGGTTTTCCATATTATGTCTTACCTAAGAAGAGAACTTAAGGTATGCAACTGGCTCCAGATCCCCCGATCTTAGAAATATCTACTGTACTTATTTTACTTATGAACATTTCTTTAGCAAAAGCCTGTTTCAGTTTTATGTGTCTTAGCAGCTTGTGTGTCTGTAACCTTCATCCAGGTGTGTTCATATACCCTCTCGGTGAAAAGGAGGTTGTGGTGGGCTTTGAAGCCGTGATCGCAGGCCGGTTGGTTGGGGTCCAGATCCAAAGCCGAGGAAAGTTAAAGGACTGCTGTTTGGACTGCTGCCCTGGAGTTGGTCTTGAAGGGAATGGCCTGGAGTGGGGCTGCTGTGGGAGCCCCAGTCTAGACATGCAATGCACCAACGGTGAGGGGGAGGATGGAAGAATGCCGTGAAAGCAAAAATATTATGTTGAAGTTGTTACATTTTTCTCTGATACAATTTCAGAATTGTAAGGAATAAACATTAGAGTTATACCAGCTTGCATTTAAATATATATAATATTATAAATGATATATAATATTATTTATGGATACTGCTGCAGACATGATTCATTGCTTCTCTCCTTGCCGACAGTCTAGCGCAGACGTAGAGAGGGCTATCTGAAAAAGCCATCTTTACACTTGTGAAATGCATATATTTAGTTTGAAAAGCCCTTGATGCTGATGCTGATGCTGCATGACACTAAAGCAATAAAATCGGCTTTTAGCTTATAATAAAAATGTTTTATATAACTGCAAAACATTTGTGTACTGATGCTGCAGTAATAATGTGGCTTCAGTACGGTAAGTCCGTTCTGTGTCAGATGGGGAAGGCCATCTGATCTGGATCCCTGCCTAATGTTGTAACGGCATTCACTTAGTAGAAACATATCTACTTAACTGCAGACCACAGAACAGTTTATTTAATTCAGCTGATGGTGATGGATCATTCTGAGTAAATACCAGCAATTAATGTGCATTTGTGTGCTAGGTTTTCAATCATGTGCTCTTTTCACATTCATCTACATGTATTTTCATATTTATTAATGATGTCGCAGACAGTCTTGAAAATTTAACATAAGGTTCTAACACAACATTGTATTTTGGGCTTTAGGACATCTGATCCTGGATGAGGACCTGGAGAGAACCACTTTCATCGTGGGCACCGGAGTCATTGGCCCCATGGATATAGTGTCGATCATCATAAGCACGACACTAGAACTTCCCACATTAGAAAACGGAGCCATTCGGATCGTCTACCCCACACTCCTTACCCCGCTTGTCACTGGGAAAATGACTCCAAGCAAGAGTGAAAGTGGAGGGAAGTCTGATGAAACTGGGTATTTATCAGACGTGGACTCCTGATTTTTCCCCCCACTTCTTTCATATTATTTTCCTAAAAAACTTCCCATTGTGCGCCTTTTTTTCTTGTTTTTGTAGGGCGACCAGTTGTTTTGGTGCCACCTCAGGAAAACAAGATCGGATCGTGCACTCTCAGCAGCAGTGTGCGCACGCCATCTTCACCAGCCCAGCTGTCAACCTGGCACCTTATGAGCTGAACTTCCAGCTGCTGGTCAGAGGGGCCTGTCTACTGGCTGGTACTGCCTGTCTCCTCAAATAAGGCTGATTCAGTGGTTTTCATCTCAACCATTATGAAATATGAGAACAGCAGGCAATCTCATTACTGAATAAAATGAATAGCTTCATAGGCGATCTCAGTCCAAACACAGCCAGACGATGAAACAGATTTAATCTTCACTAGTGTGTGCTGTAAAGAAAAATTAACTCATTCAAAACATTGTAATATGTTTACTGATTTTCATTTTTTGCCTCTCTTTATTGATAGGACTGGAGAGCCCTACTCACGCTCTGAGGGCAGATGCAGATCCAAGTGCCCAAAGTGCCTCTGCCACCTACATCACCTTGGCACAGGAGCATCCCTATGACAGACACATAGAGATTATTTTGCACCTCAGCGGTGAGCGATGACAAAGTGGTTTGGGAAGGTCTGAACTTTTCATTGCTGTGATTTTCTTTTTATTCTGACTTTTAAACCCTTCCTCAGAACCTCACAGCCCCTTGGTCATCTTAGAGAGAGGCAGGCTCTCCTTCAGCCAATATGAACAGCAAATCTGCTCCCGTCGAGATTTCATCCGATGCACCCGCAAGGATTCAGAACCTGAAAGAAAGGTTTGCTCGTTTTTTCCTGCTGTCAAGCATTTAAATACATCTTAAGACGTTAAGCTTTCATTGCTGATTTTCCTTCTTCGCCTGCAGCTGGAGTTTGTCAGGAAGCGATACCACAAAGACATTCTGTGCAGCCCCGTGTTGATGCTCAATTTCTGCCCCGACTTGCTGCGTGAACCTCTGGAAGTGCACAAAGCCACCAGGGAGCTGCTGTTTCTCATTGATCGCAGTGGCAGCATGAGTGGCGCCAACATCCAGCGTGTGAAAGTGAGCAGTAGTCAAAAGCATGCAAATAAAACATGAAGTTCAGATTTGAGAATGTATATATATGTATATGACTCTGGCTCCATCCTGTATATGCTTTCTTATTCTGACAGGAAGCCATGGTGGTGGCACTCAAGAGTCTACCTTCTGGCACAATGCTCAACATTGTGGGATTTGGTACCACCATCAAGCCCCTGTTCACCTCCAGCAAGCTTTGCACTGATGTCAGTATTACCTAGTGAGCTTTGCCCCTGAATTGGGTATTTTTAAAAGATTTTCAGTGTTTTTCATGATATCTGTGAATCCCTTCCAGTAAACGAGAACACACGGAGCATTTGAATGATGTTTTTCTGAACACAAAATGTCATTCAGTCGTTCAGGACTATCTGTTCTGTTTTCTACTCTCTAATCAGGCAATAGGTCAGTTCTTGGGTTGCCTTAGTAGCAGAGTATCAGGTTTTATCCAGACCTGGGGCTGCAAGCACAAACAGTCTTTCCACATTCTCCTCGCCATATGGTGGCCTTTCATGCATTTTCACTTAGGCAGGACGTGTCCCTCCATCTCCTGCTCTGACAGCTATGTTTATCCACCATGTGAACTGAGGTCATTTTAAGGCAGGTGCTAATGTGTGTTTGTTTGTGCTGTCTTTATTAGAGAAGGGTTGATTTAATTTGTTGCTTCCCTCACAGGCTAATTAGTGCATCTGATAACAAACAGTAAATTTATCCTGGCAACATGTTTGCACAGGCGCTGCGGTTCGACAGGAGTTGTTTGCTTCTCCCTCCTTTACTCAGGATCTGATTGCATCCCCACTTTAATCACTTGTGTGTTTGCGCGCAGGTCACACTAACTCGGGCCTACGAGTACGTCCAAAGGATGAGAGCTGACATGCGAGGCACCAACCTGCTGGGGGCGCTCTTCTGGGTCTATCAACAGCCCATGCAGCGCTCGTACCCTCGCCAGGTCTTTATTATTACAGATGGATCCATCAGCAATGTAGCTAGAGTGCTGGAGCTAGTACGCAGAAACGCGTGTGCTGGCAGGTATGGATATTATGTGCGAAGGAGGGTACAGAGGGAGCAGCTAGTTATCTATCATGACAGACAGATAAAACTGACAATAGTTGCAACAGCTGGTTAATAAAAATGCAATATTAAATAAACCATTAAATCAGTGAGGTTAGGAAGCAGGAGATAAGTAAAGGAGAGTGAATGGAGGCAGAACCAGGTGAATGACATGACAGAGACAGTATATGGGGGAGGACAGCAAGAGAAACAGAGCGTGGACCCAAGCAAACAGTGATCATAAAGACCTGAGAGCAAAGCTCTGTGGAAGAAAGACAAGAAAGGCTTGAAGCATTTTTCAGCCCCGCCCAGTAATCCCGTTAAGTGCTCTCCTCTGCAGTAAGAGTCACGCCCCTCTGGTTTTCCCCAGATGCAGAATGACTTCATTTATGCCTTATTAGTATTCGCCTGTCGGACTGACTTTCTCCACTGTAATTTTTCGCTGTCCTTTAGCAAACTAGGAACACGTTTGTTCGTTTCTTTATTCTTATGGAAAACATCTAATTCTGCCCAGTGTTAATTAGATTGCCATCTCACTGCAGTCTGCACCTGAGAAGGTGTTGTACATCATTTTGAGCTTCTGTTTCCATATTTAGCCAGCCAGACTGCTGCTCAAGAACTCAGCCTTTTTCAATTATTCCGTCCCCTGAGCCATTTAAACTCTTAGCGAGCCAAATGGCTGGTGATCTCCACCAGTGTCTGTTTGATGACTCTACATTTTCTATTTGTAAGCGACATAGAAGCAACATTTTAGGTTATTTTCAGGCTACTTCAATAGACATAAAAAATAAACTGTTATAACACAAACAGTGAAAATCATCCACAATTTAATATCATAATTAAATTTTCTCTTGTGACGTGATAAAAATGTAATGTACACACGGTATCACCTTTGCAGATGCTTTGGCTTAGGCCTTGGTCCACGAGCCTGCAGGAGACTCCTGCAGGGCGTTGCCAAACTGACAGGAGGGACTACAGAGTTCTTGGATGATGAGGAGAGACTCCAGCCCAAGGTCAGCAGCGCTGCAGCACTGCCACCTATTGGAGTGAAAAGAATTGCAAATTAATTAAAAGCAAAGTCTTGAAAGAATACATATGTAAACCTTGGGGCATTACATTAGCATTTCAGCATAGAGAAAAACAACTAGCAGTTGTAAAGTGTAATAACTACTCAAGCATTTAATTATAATTTAGAGTTATTTTACTTTAGTATTTTCATAGTATGGCTTTTATAGTTAGTTTAACAACTGTTAGCCATTAAAGATATACATGTGTAAGTTTAAGTTTACCAATTTTTTAGCTTATGACAAATCTCGGGAGAAGTGTTTTTTAAATTAGTTTGATAAGTTTACTTCTTCTCCCCATTTCTGCAACAGTTAATCAAGTCCCTGAAGAAGGCCTTTGAACCTGTTCTGACTGACGTACGGATCGACTGGTATCTGCCAGAAAACATGGAAGCTCTTCTTACACCCAATGAAATCCCTCCACTCTACCCCGGGAATCGCCTCATAGGATACTGCACGCTTTACGACATGACCAGTTTCAAAGCAAAAAAGGCAGAGGTATTACTCTGTGTGCATTACCATGTAAAATATTAAGTCAGCACTTATTTGTTTATGTTGCTTCAAGTGAGTCAAATGTTACTGTATTTTTACAGTGTTCTTGAGCAAGAGTTCTCCAGGGTTTCTGAAACTCTTGCAGAGTTTATCTTTGGACATTTGCTGATTTTTCGCTCGTTGTTAGTCCAGTCCTTGTAGCTGACCAACTTTAGAGCTATAACTGACCTATGAATCATTCAATCATAAATAACACACCAAACTAAATGGATGAACCAGTCTTGTGTCTCCACATAACAGACAACTTAGCAAAGAACAAATGTTAAATTGTATCTTTAGGCACTTTGTTCCCATTCCTTTAGTTGAATCTATGACAAATGTCAAAGATAACACAGTTTGGCAAGGATAAAGTATTATTTTTGCACCTGGAAACCTATTCCTGAAGATTACTTAGAGAACCTATGAGAACGCTGCCAAAGACAGTTCAGGCTATGTTGGAGAAAAAAAGATCGTCATACCAAATATTGACTTTGTAGAATTCTAATGAGTTTCAAACTCTTTCTTTTTGCTTTATAAGCTGTATTTTTGTACATGTATATTTTAATACATTGCTGAAGCCATTTCCAGTTTTTCTACCAAAATATGCAGAAGTGAGGGTTGGCCCCATATTTTTGCACAGTACTGTACCATTTTTTAAAATGTAATCTTTGCATTTTATTTTTTTGCTTCAGGAACAGAGCTACAAAGATTTACTTCGTGGTTCTACGGGTTCAGTTTTTGGCCAGTCGAACGATGAGCTTTCACCTCCTCCTGCCTCTGAGCTCATGCCTGTGGTGACATGTGCAGATGGCACTGAGTTGGAGGAAGCACTGAGGGAAATTTCTAGAGAGATATCCTCTGAGTTCTCCTGTGCCAAAGACACAGACACAGGCACCAGTCCAGGTTGGTCACTCATCACGAACATTCACATTTGCCAGCACACTTTAAACCACAGTGGCTAACAACAGGCTTTTGTCCACTATAGGTGTGGAGTTGGACTGGTCCAGCGATGTGAGGAAGAGGATCCAGGAGAGCTCTTACATTCAGGAGCAGTACATCCTCACTCGCTGCTCACTCAGCAGTGAACGAAGTCTGCAAACGCAGTCCCACTCTCACATACATGCCTCAAATTCTGACGGGGCCTTTCTCTCCAGCTGTCACTGCTCTGGTCCAGTGCTCGATACAGGGTCTCTGCCCCAAGGCCTCGAGAAGATGCCCCCTCCAGAACAGAGATCAGCCCTGTCTCGCTGGGCAGACTCATCGTGGCAGCAAGACCTTTCAGTCAAATCCCCAGACAGCGGGACCAAAAAAGTAAGACTAAAGACTGACAGACTTTTTTTTTGGAATTTAGTAAGTAATTGGGAACACACAGACAAAACAAGACATGAAAATATAACAACTATATATAACTATAAACTTCTATCTTTCCTTTGGAAGAAAGATCATATCAATTAAAAAGACTGCTTATTTGAGTCATGCACAGCTGAAGCACACAGTCAGTATATCACAGGAGGTCGCTGCAAAGTTATTCTTGCAACATGGCAAATACATTTCAATCTAATGACCTTAACATAGGCAGCACGGTGGCACAGTGGTTAGCACTGTTGCCGCACAGCAAGAAGGTCCTGAGTTCAATTCCACCATCAGGCCAGGGAGTTTGCATGTTCTCCCCGTGTTTGCGTGGGTTCTCTCCGGGTACTCTGGCTTCCTCCCACTGTCCAAAGACATGCACTTAGTGGGGATAGGTTAATTGGTTAATCCAAATTGCCCATGCGAGTGAATGTGAGTGCGAATGGTTGTCTGTCTCTGTGTGTTGGCCCTGCGACAGACTGGCGACCTGTCCAGGGTGTACCCCGCCTCTCGCCCTATGACAGCTGGGATAGGCTCCAGCGCCCCCTGCGACCCTGAACAGGATAAGCGGACGCGAATGGATGGATGTATGGACCTTAACATACTGCAGAGAAAAACAAAATGATACCCAAACCTACTTCTCTTTGCTTGTCCCCTTTTTACAACCAGAACGGGTGTCTGGATGGAGCTGAGGAGTCTCGTAGGAGACAAAAAGCACTAGCACGTTCGACGATGGCAGCGCGAAGTTTTTCGTCCCCCCAGGGTGAATTAGAGATGCATCGGCTGAGAAGGGCTCTGGAGAGGGTCTCCTTTGACCAAACACTGGGAGGGAAGCTGGAAGAAAGTGACGGGGAGACAAAGCCAACACCACGAGGGACAGCGTCCCACAGAAGCCTCACCGACTCCAGTAAGTTTCACTGCAAAGAAAATAGGATCATATTTATTTATTCAGTCCCGTAAAATTTCTATCCTATTTTTCGCTCTGCCCCTTAGATGGACTCTTGTTTCCCGCCTCCCCTCTGGACTGGGACAGTTTCACAGATCCAGAGTATCTCTTCGCTGCTGTCCCGCCTGACAGTCCTCCCCCAGGCCAGTGCCGTTCCCTTATTCATGGTGTCCTGAGTGGCAGGCCTGTGTCCTGGGAGGTCACTGTAGACCTGGGGCACCTCTGGACCCCTGAGAGTCAGGACATTGAAGTAAGTGGGGTATATGGAAGGGGAGGTGAAGAAGGAAGAGGAGGGAAATCGTGGCAGGAGATCATTCACCAACTGACCGCTCGCTCAGTTATAAGAGACTTTGAGAAAATGGCAGAGAAAGAGAGCGACATTGGACATGGTGGGCGGTTTACCGGTTGCTTTTTCCTACTGATTAATGTGCCGTTATCTCCAAACTACTGTGCATCTCTTACTATTCCTCTGTTTGATGGCTTCTTAGGCTCAGCGAAGCGATATCGTACAAAGGCTATCCAGACAAGTAAGCACTGTAACATCATCTGTATGTACACAGCCTTCACCACCACTGACAGCAATCCCAACAAAGGCTTGGCTGACATGGATGTGCAAACCACAGGTGTGCCACCCACCAACACACATACACAGAATAAACTCTCAGCTCAACTTTCATCCAGGAAGTTTTGTTTACTTGTCAATGATAATAAGATATCTGTAAAGAACAATCCTGATCTTCTCATTGGTGTTATGAGGAATCAAGCATTAGAATTTGTCTTCTCTTTGAAGCCTGGTTTTATGTGTATGCAAGTTTAGAGCATGCAGCTTGAAAGAATTTGGCAGTAACAGGTCTGTATAATTCTGTATTTGTGTCTGATCCCCCTGACCTTGATTTGGATAATGGAGGGATGGACGGACAGACGGAAGGAAAATCAATAGCTCTTCTGAATTCTCTAACTTAAGGAAAACAGTGCTAAGTGAATTACAGAAGCACCATTTATATGTTATTTTTATTTATTGTTGCATTCAGTTGATATTTTTAAGGGTCCACATTGTGTTCTGTTTATTTGTGTGTGTCTGCAGGGCTACATTTGGGAAACAGGCAGGCTTTTCAGTCAGGCATTCGTAGGCAGAGGACTTATTCTGTAGGTCTGGGCAGACGGCACACCACTGGAGACAGTGCAGAGGTGGAAGACACCTGGAACTCTACAGGTAAGAACGACCGAATGATGCCAGCACCCATTTCTGTTATCAAGACTTTAGGTCATCAACAATCTTTGTATCTCTCAGACAGAGATGACACTCCTGCCTCACCCTGTAGTGTAACATCCTGGGACTCTAGTAAGTACTGCTGTCCGTTCGCTCAGGGAAAACTCTGGTGTAAGTAGTCTCGAGGATCGAGGCTTCTGAAGAGAAAGCTGTGGTGAGAAGGAGAAAAAGGAGGACCCCTCTCCCCCGACTCCATTACACACACAACTTGTGAAGAAGCTCTTAAAGGATCAGTTCATCTAAATAAATCTTCCTTAACTTTATTGGTATCCAATCGCACAGACATATTTGCTTTTATTCATTTAGTTCCAGATCCATGTAAAATACCTCTGATCAGTTTTGTTTAATCTGGATGAGCTGAGCCTTTAAGCACAATCAGAAAACACCACTTTTATCACTGAGCTGATAAAACAATACAATTTAACGTTTTAATGTCATCCCAGGTGTAGGGGGCAGCTCCTACTACACTACAGCCATGGCAACAGGCGCCCAGAGCACTCGCTCACAGCGATCTATAGAGAGCAAGTCAATGGAGAGCTTCTTTGGCACCAGGTAAGACTTTCATATTAAACTCTTTTAACAGTTTGTGTGAGACTGACAAAGATGCAATAAAATAAACAGCATGAAAGGACTAAAAGGCGCTAAAAACCCCTAAGAAGTAAGACACGAAAACAAATACTGTAGTTTCTTGAAAAGCTCCTACTTTAAAGTTGTTCATGTATACACTCCTGTTTGTGCACATGTTACTTAAATGTAAGAAATGAGCCACAGCATCACCACTCTGTTTACCCACATCTGTAAATGTCCTGAGAGTGACTGATGGGCCATTTACTGAAGTTTAAGAGTTAATAAATATGTGAAAACAACTCGGCCCTGGAACTCATACAGCACAGACCGTAGGTTCTAACCGTGATTGATGCAGTGAATGTTGTTCAGGTCAGGGTTCATCTTTTCACGCAGGCATATGGCTGTTCACTGCAGCTGCACGCTAATTCAAACCCAACAACCCTTACACGTGACATGTCTTTAGCGACTCCCATCACAACAAAGGTTTCTAACTGCAAATTGTCAAAAGTTGTTGCAAAACTCACCGTTGTAGTGAATTCTGATGTAGATTATACGGAAGTATTCATAGGATTTCTTTTTTGCGAGGCTCCTGTTAAATCTGACACTCTGAATCCATGTAATTTGTCTTTTTGTTTAGTTAGCCGTAGTGTTCTCACTGAAACAACAGTGTTATAATGACATGCAGACCACAAGGGTGTACGCACAACTCCCACATCTCCACTGGCAAATTGCACTCTCTTTAAATGTTAGATTTTTTTTTTTTAGCGTACCTATTTTGTTTTTTTTAATTCCAGGTTCCCGCTGGGCAGGCTCAGGTCCTCCATTTCATCAGGAAAGCAGGTGCCTGTCAAGTCCCACTGCTTATCTGCCGAGACTGAGAAACATCCTGAAAGTGAAGCTCCAGACTACCTGCCCCTGGTGAGCTGTGCCAACATGGAAAACAGTGAAGTGCTAAAGTTGTGTCCACTTTATTTGTTTACCCAGCACACAATACATACCATCAGCTCCCAAATTCATTCTGCAAACTCCTGGAGTCAGTCAACATTTATAGGCAGAAGAACTTTGGAAAGTTAAACCACGTGCTATGACAAATAGTGTGCAAAAGAGAAACACTGCCACGTTAAAGGCAAAGTGCATTTACAGCATCGCAATACTGTGCACTCATCTTCAAGTGTGCTCATTACCCATGTCTGTTATGACTCCGCAGGTTCGTCTGCAGCTGGCATCAGGAGCTTTTCTTCTGACTGAGATCTACTCTGACTGTGTCCAGATTCCTCTGGACCGCCTTAAAAGAGCATCGCCATACAGTCTCCACCGCCGTAGTCTCAGCCCAGCCTTACGCTGCACATCTCCCAGTGCTCCATCCTTGTCCACTAGTGCCAAACCTCCTGGTGCTCCCTCTGGTCACCACGTTACCTTCTCTCCTTCCGCTTGCTCCTTTGTCAGACCAGCCATTCCACCTTTCCACCACACTCCAGAAGATACTCCCCTAATTTTGGAATCGAGGCTTCGCCGAAGATACCTCTCTGAACAAGACCCCGTCACCTCTCCCACTGACCTCCCCAGCTCTGAAGAGGGTTCTTTGGAGTTATCCATCAGCCCCTTTCAGAACCAGAACCTCGGCCAAGCAGACAGTGGCCGTGGGTCAGAGACAGATATATATGAAGGCTCTACACCTGAGCAAGCTTACCTCCAAGGGAGCAGCCAGTTGGCTCAAGAGGATCTGGAGGGCTCAACTTGGGCCACAGCTGTGGCCCTAGCGTGGCTAGAGCACCGGTGTGCCGGCTACTTTATGGAGTGGGAACTGGTAGCAGCAAAAGCAGACTCATGGCTGCGCTGTCAGAAGCTGCCCGAGGGACTGGACATGGCAGGGCTTAAGGGAGCAGCCAGACAGCTGTTCCTGCTGCTGCGCCACTGGGATGAGAACATTCAGCTGAACATGCTGTGTTATAACCCAAATAATATGTGAGACAATCGTCTCAGAGGAAACCAAGCCAACTCTGATTGTTAGCATTCTCACCATTTCCCAACGATAGTGACTCTAAATGCCTTTACATGGAAAAATCGTGTTTTATTAACTTAGGCAGTGCCAAGTTCATTCTAATACTACATGCCATAGACCAGGGGGCCTTTTATGATCAGTGTGCTTTATGCAATCACAAATATGCCTTTATCATCTAAATGGGCTTTTTGTAGTCTAGCTTTTAGTTTGCAGCCAGTATAATATACTACTATACCAAATATGTAATCACAGTTACTGTAAAATGAAGATTTTGATTATCAAGATAATTATTTGATAAATTAAACAAAGATGAGCTTTAAACAGTGAAATGATTGTTGGTAAAAATAATAAAAAACACTAAAATTCAACCATTTGTTGTATTGTGTAACAATGAAGACCACACGGGTTTAGTAGAATCCATTTGCCGTTTTTCAGTCTACTGCATGTTTCTCACATTAAATCCATCTATGAGTGCGGCCACTCACAACAGAGGATGACAAGTTACAGAAATCAGACAAACAGACTGATTGTCCACAGCTGACTTTTACACATTTGTGTAAAAATACAAAAAAACATCCCCTTCGATAGAGAATACTTATGTTTCATAACTGTGGCAGAGGAAATGCCACAAGCTTACGCTTGCTATGCAGTTATTTTAAAGCTTGGCGTTCAAGTTCTTATGCACATTATTGACACTTTCAATATACGATCATCTGAGCACCAGTAAATAAAAACTTGAGATGATATCAGCCTACATGACTAGACCAGAGGAATTATGGACTGAGTGTAGTTGTACCACAGTAAGTGGGAATAGAGCTCATGTAATCAATTCTTTCCACACAGCATAACATCCATGACATTCTCATAGCCTCCACTCTTCTTATTTTCTATCTAAAACTAAACCTGAGAATTCTTATTTTCTCTTCTTATCTCTGCAACTGCATATTATTCCATCGTGTGGGCATCAGTCTGCACACACATGACGCATCCTTCACTTTAAGCAGTGAGAAGCTTTAAATGGCTCCTTTAATTCACTTATAAACAGTCTACCACAGCGACCGCCCTTTGCACTGGTGCTGTCAGGATCAAAGACAGGAGGATGGAGCGGGCTTGTCGTCAGCTGATTCGGCCGAATAATACTTCTGGTCCGATCAGGCCGGGGCTCAATGGCGTTTGTCCTTTACAGCTTTCTGCTCTTGTGTTTCTGCTGCAGCTGCAAGCAAAGGTGGAGCTAGCCAGAGACATAACAGGATGATGAGGTGACAGACGTGAAGGGCAGCTGAGCTGCTGTTAGTAGAGGGATAGGTGTTCCACGAAAGCTCGATCAGACCCAGGATCAGGACCCTGCATGCAAAAATAAAACAGTTTTTCATTAAGATGTGGCAGAGTGTTCAGGGAGGTGCTATGCTTCAGGACTTATGATTCTGTCTCACCTGAGCAGATGGGCCAGCTTCTTGACACCTCCACTCCACAGCAGGTAAGGCAGCGAGTGGAAGTACCAGACGTAAAACTGGTAGTGCAATGAGCGACTGAAGCACATGCCAATGAAGTTACAGGTGAACAGAATCAGCACAATCTGTGATTTTCAGATAAGGACAAAAAAAAGGCATGTCTGGAAGATCATATGAAAAAATCTGCTAAGCATTGTTTTACCATGTCCTGTGTCCTGTAAAGAGAATGTTCAAAGCAAAGCTAATTTCAGGTGCTCACTTGTCACCAGGTTTCCCACAACAAGTAGCACCACAAGTTTTTTTGTTTTTGCAGAGTTTTGGAAGAGAAAACCTTCTTTTTCCTGTGACTCTATGTCCGTCTCCTCTTGAATACAGTGGAACTTTAAGCGCTAAGTTTTTGGTTCTCTGTCCAGAAATCTTGACCCAGTTACTCAAAATAATTAAGATCCACAAATCTTGCTGAGAAGAGTTTTCTGTATGATTTTTTTCATTCTGTCAACAAGGCCTGCAGATTCATATTAACATCTAACAACAGACTTACTTAAAAATATATTTCACATTAAAGACAGGAGTAGATTGAAATGGAACAAAAGGATATGATCCACAGTGCTTTTCTGAGCTGGGATTTTCCTCTTGCCTGGTTCCTTTAGAAGTTCAAAGATGCTTTCTCCTGGTCTGGTGCCACAGACAGAATATGGTTATTTGCCATTTTAGAGATCTAGGAGGTACGTGTGTATTAATAAAACATATAACTTTAAAAAAAGGTTTCCGCTGCTGACTGATGAGAACCCTGAAATACCAACAACCATTTAGTGCTGTTACTAGAAATCAATTGCATTTCCTTGTGGCCTAAATGTCTCTGCAGAGTATAAAGTAGTGACAATCCTGCTGAAATCGCCTTCCATTTTTTCATGACACCTGTCATGCATTGTCATAATGATGTGGTTTTGATCAGTATGTTATCATGCAAAGCATTTATAAATGTAGAAAGAAAACAGTGTTCCCAGTGTATCCCTGGCACATTCAAAGTCTATCTCACCTCTTCCAGCGGCGGAAGGCAAAGAGCAGCAGGGTGAGCAGATGAGCGGCCAGCAGGAGTAAGTGGAAGTAGCGATTCAAAAAGAGCCATTCTGGCAGGAAGCGCCAGTTGACCGTCCACTTGAACATGAACTGGCGGCCAAGATCAAAGGCACGGCTCATGTAACCAACGGGATTCTCTAGGAGGAAAGGGAGCCCCAACACAACCTGCCACATAAGATAAAGAAAGAGATGATGTTAGCAAAATACAGTCATTTGCTAAAATTTACTGTGGACAGAGTACTACAGTCAAGCTGTACCTGTTTTAATGTGTATATTTACCTGTATGCCTGCACACAGCGATAACTTGGGGATCGTCTTCATTAGACCAAACTCTGACAGGAGGAGGAAAAGTAATCCAGGGGCAAAGAGAAGCACGTTCATTTTCACAGATACTGCTAAACTGTCAGAAAGAGGAAAAGATTGAGTTGTAATTTCATCTTGCTACTCTCAGGAAAAAATAACAATGACAATGTAGAAGGTATGTAACACATTACAGATGTACAGGTGCCACTTGTTGATTTAGGGGAAGCCAATAAATGAGTATCCGCTTTAAAGAAGAGTGCACACTTGCCTGTAGAGGCCACAGCCCAGAGTCCAGTATCCATCTATGAAGAGATTGACAGCTGCAAACAGCAGCATCATGGCCACTGGGTCATTAAAGAGACGGAGCACAAAGATGGAGTGGATCCGATAGGATGCACAGCACACGAAGAAGAACACATAGGGAGGAACCTGGAGAAAAAAAAGAAGGAGATTTAATTATTTGTGAGATTAATTATTAGAAGAAACGCTAAAGAGATTAATTCTGCAAGTGGCTCAGAAAAAGAAGAGCTGCAAGTAGAGGAAAAGGGAGGTCTCAGTATTTTTGTGGTTCTGGCCCTGGAACCCAGAGCCAGATATGCAACAGAAAACTAATGAATTAATGTGTGAGAATATTCTGAAAATAACATTACATTTTGTTTCTGTAGGGTATAAAAGTTGAATTCCACACAAGGACACGCCCATGTTTCAATGAGCGTTTTAGCAAAATGACATGCTGCTTAATATATAGGGTTCCTGGCACATTAGTATTAACATTAGGCTCACCTTTTTGGTGCGATAGTATATTCTGAAGACAAGCAGCAGTGTGAGGAGGTAGAAAAAAGCAAAAATGTACTGGCCCAGACGGATGTTCACCCCATGGCCGGTAATGTAGTAGAGAGCTGTGAAGATGTAGACGAACCCAGCTGGGTACCTACAACAACAGTGTTCCAAATTATCTAGGAGACCTGCACTGAAAAGCGTGGTATGGAGAGAACTACATCATTTTGAAACTCACACCAAAGGGCCTGTGTCCCCTTTCAGCTGGGTGTAGTCATAGGTGCCATTGATAACTCCTTCCACTTCATCCATGTATGCTTTCCAGTCGATCTCAGTGTCTGCAGTACATAATAATATTAATAATAATGATGATGTGGATGTGAATATCTTGATGCATGCTCAATAGTCATGCTCAGTGATGACGATAGGTTCTGGAAAAGACAACTCAACCAGAACAAACAATCAATTTAAGAAGGAGAAAATATTATTGGTATTTTTCTGTTGCAGTTCCGTCTTGTATGTGGACGTGTAAAAAGTGAGCAGTTACTATGCCTTTAGAAGTTTACTTCTTGTATTTACTATTGAAACAGCTACCTTCGGTTGTATATAGTCTTAAAAGTAATGGACGTTATTTGATGTTGGGAGAGAGTAAACCATTGTATTTGGTCATGCAGTGACAGTAAATTCCCTTTGACAGGTGGCAGGCTAAGCTAATACTTTTCTGACGCTAGCTACTTAGCCTTCAGCCGCGTTCAGATAAACGTCAAAATACAATAGCGTGCTAACTAGTCGACCAGCTACTTACATGCTACTTTCTGTATGACCCACACATTGATGCCGATCTCCAGGAACCACAAAACTGAAACCACCAGCAAGGTGTATTCCGTCTTGAACAAGAGCAAATACTTGTCCTGCCAAAGCGTATGGAGTTTCCCCCACAGCGGGGACGGGGAAACGGGAGACTTTCTCCGCACACCTCCAACTCCTACCATGTCCGCGGCGTAGCGACGTGTACGCTTAGGCCGTAACTGACGCATGCGCCCAGACTTCGTCACGTGACAATTCTGTCACCGCACGTCAGATACACGGTGCTGCAGAGTGAATACTGGGAAGGTTTCGTTTCCTTTACAGGTATAAAAAACAAACTTATTATTAGTTCTAATTCTTGTTGAAATATATGTGTTTTATAAAATTCTAAGTGTTTCTTATATGACTGTTTAAAAAAAAATCTTTAGAGGTCACTGGAGCGCTGGCAACGTTAGCTGGCTAGCAGCTAACTTTGTTGTAGGGAAAACGATCAGGAGAATAACAGCATGTAAACATGTTTTAAAAGGCACAGCAAAGAAATGAAACTTCAGACAATGGAAATACATTTTATTCAAGCTTTCCATCAAATAACGTGTGACTGCAGCTTGTTGAAGTTTTGATTTTAATGTCAGAGTGATCAAGAACAGCTTAAGTGTCCAAAATCATTTTCCTTCATATTATGGAGTCACATTTGTTTGTTTGCTTTTACCATTTTTATTTGTTCTCCAACTTTTTCTAACTCTTACCTTAATAAGCTGGTTTGTCTTTTCTGTCATATTCTATTATATTTTTGAGCTCCTGAGTCACTTTGCTGTACGCTGCATCTTGATGTTTTTGCTGCTGGACTCCAGAAATAAATTTCACAGAGAAATTGTTGGAATAAATATGTCCTGTGCCTTTGATCAGACCAGAGAGAAATTTAGCAGTCTCATTGGCATCATTTTAAAATTCAATCGAAGCAGTTATGCAGCTGTTAATAATTTGTTGTTTCTTATGGTATTTCAACATAACCTCGTTTGTGCGTGGTGGCATTTTGTTGTGTTTGATTTTTGTATTATAATGTGTGTATGTATGATATAGATTGTGTATGTCATTGGGATGGGCATTGCTAACCAGCTTGGGCTATGAATGTTGTGGTATATTGCCTGGTTTATGTAACACACTTCGTCCTATGTAAAAATATGTAGAGGAAGCACACAGTAAAGATGCACAGATGTAGTAAAGGAGGACATGCACAGGGCTCATGTAACAGATATGGATCTAGGGAGGTAGCTAATCTGCTGTGGTAACCCCTAAAGGGAGAAGCTGAAAAACGAGGAAGACTACCTGTTGCTAGCTTTTTATCAACATTAATCCCATATTTTTATTTTGCAGTGTGAAAACAAAAGACATGCTGGTGAGTCTGTATTAGAAGAAAAATAATGTTCCTCTTTATCACAAAAGGCTGCAGTTCAAAATGTATGGCAGATAATTAACACTGTACATAGTTAGAGAGGCAATATTATCAGTTCCTTTGTTATGTCCCACACGTACCTCAAATCAGCCAGTAATCACTGCCACATAGTGTAGGCACATCAAAGCATGTCACAACATAGCCATGAGCCCCGCAGCTGTGGGTTTACAGACAGGTGATTCTTCTTCTTCTTCTTTTGTGTTTGTGCAGGTGCTCTTGGAGCCGTTACAGGAGACACGGGGCCAATGGAAGGATTCTTCGTGACAATTTCAGAGGCAGCGTGTCTTGGAGTGAGCCTTGCTCTCTCAGGCTTCTCCTTCTACCTATATAAGAAGAGCCGAACAACAATAGACAAACTCAACGTGAGTTGTTAATTTTGTGTAATTAGCTTTATTGGAAGACTAAACCTCTAAGAAGCTTCTACTTCAAACCCCTCACTAGAGATTACAGCTCATATGTTTTTGATGGAAGAGTTAAGGTCCCTTCTCAGATGTTAGTAATTTTTTCAGAGATGTGAACAATTAATCTGAGTAGAGAAATAACACAACAGGATTTGGAGTAGTTTAAATGTATAAGGTGAGCCATATATCACAGTAACATTTAGTTTATCTTCACCATATTGCAATAGACACTGTAAAAACAAACTTGCATCGCTGTTATAAAGCTGTAGGTGAGAACAGTGAGCACATCTGTGGCTATATTGCACTAAAAAGTTAAGATGGAGAATTTGGACAAAAATGCAAAAAATTGACATTCGGAGAATAAAAACAAAATGTCAAGAATAAAACTGAAATAGTATTTTGAAGGGAAAAAAAAATCAAACTTGGAAGTGTTGGCTCCATTTGTGCAAGAAGAAATAGTGGCAATGGACAGATGCAAGGGGGTGTTGTATCAGAAGATCAGGCTGCAACTGACATTTCACAGATGAAGGTGTAAGATACAGTATTTAAAGAATGACCATTTCGTGTAAAGTTTTATTCTGTACTTCTGAAACCTGTCATCCTTTTTATTCAGTTTTTAGCTGTTTATGTTGTGCACTTTTAGTCTTTCTGTGTTTCTTGATTACATCCTGATTGTTCTTTTAGCTCATGCCATTTGCATCTGTCTTGATGTAAATCCATGAGGATCTTTTAGGGACATATCTTTTCTTTTTCTCAAACTAAACTGGTTCTTTTGAAAGATTTACTATTACAACCAGTCATTTATAGAATTAATAGCAACACTGTGATTGCTAGCACTGCACAGAAAAGTACCCATTTACAGCCAACTAACAAACACAAAACAAAGAAAAAAAACCACAAAAAAAACAAATGAATGACTAATTAATCAGTCAGACTTACTGACTGCGCCATGTTTCCAGAATGCTCCACGGTTACCCATAGATAAAAAACTCAAGGACATCTTGAAAGTTACTCCAGGAGCGTGTCTACAGTATGTCGTCATTGAAGGTAATCAGTCTTTTATTTGTTTTTGATAAGGACTAGTACATTTATTTATTTTTTTAATCTGAAAACTTGTATACCGGCCTACCTCTCATTCCCTGTTACTGTATGTGTGCTTGTATACATTTTAGGTGGTGTAAAACCAGCTGGAAAGCCTCTCATTAGTTGGTACAACATAGAAAATGTTGGTGTGCTGCGTAGATTCATGGTGAAAGAACACAGGCTGTTGTGGAATGGATTTTTACGTACATGGTGAGAACATCATCAGATCAAGCTGAAGTTCCAGTACATCTAACTTTTTCTCCTTATTATCAGATATGCAAACTGTTTCTCACGTTACCTTTGCAGGACAGATAATGAACGACTCTTGCACGAAAACGTAGAGGCGGTGCCCTTTTTATTAGTGGGACTGGATAATACCGAAATCAGAGTCTTGTCGCCTTTACAGGCCGCTGGGCTGGACATGGAGGTCACATATGAGAAATTTCACCAGGTCAGTCACAGTTTGGGTGACCTCATGGGACAGTACTTTACTGGGGAGAAGCCAAAAGGTCAACTGGAGATCGAGGAAATGCTCAAAGTAAGTCATTCTATTCAAACTTGAATGAATTAGTGTTCACTTCATAAAGCCCAATTTGTTGTTAATATTAAAAATATATTCTTATTGATAAGTGCCACACCTTTTTTTTTTCAAGGTGGGGACAAATCTTACAGGTGTAGGCGAGTTGAATCTGGACACAGATGGCACTCTGAGTCTCCGACCCCCTTCTAACGGTTCACAGTACTTCCTGACCCCAGCGGACTTCGACACCCTGCAAGGGGAGAATGAAGACATTGCTTTTTGGTGGAAAGTGTTGGCCATTACTTCTGCTTTGGCAGGGGCAGCAATCATTTTCTGGGCCGGGTTACGCTACTACCGCCACCTTAAGGATCTCAGGGAGCAGGAACGGGAAAGAAGGGAATTTAACAGACTGCAAATTAATGTACCAGACCAGGACAACCTTCAAGACGTGGCCATGTGTGTTATTTGCCTCAGTCAGCCCCGTAACTGTGTCCTGTTGGACTGTGGACACGTGTGCTGCTGCCACACCTGCTACCAGGCTCTGCCACAGCAATATTGCCCTATTTGTAGACAGAGGATTGTAAGAGTGCTACCTCTATATCAAGTCTGACGTATTTGTGGAATCGGGTCACTTCAGTAGAAGCTTCACGTCTAAATTGCTTAACTTATTAAATTCAAAATTAAATGTGAGTCATGTTGTGAAAACATTTTGTCCATAATAGAGATTTGTTGTGGGAAATATGGGGATATAAAGCAAGTCAAAAAAATGTGTAAACTTGTGCAATACAAATGTTTGTTTTGCTCAGTGCTCATGTGCCTTATTTTACCATTTTCTGCCGAGTGATGGTACTTTAAAGTAAATAGAGTGATTATTTTATAGTGCTTTCCTACCCTACCTGAGCACTCAAAGCACTTTACACAACTTCTCTCATTCACTGGTTCAAGCACTTTTTTGCTGTGATTTTTCTACGTAGGTTCTTTCTCCCTAACAGTTACAGTGATTTGTACTCTGATGGATGAATCAGAGGAACTTGGGGTTAGTATCTTGCTCGGGGATATTTGGCATGCAGACTGGAGCAGAGTTCAGACAGTTTAATTTCCATTCTTGTTTGTATTGGAAATTTACTGAAACCCAAATAAATCTAATATCGAGAAGTTTTACCCTTAGAGTGTATTTAAGTGTATTTAACACATTTGAGAATCCGTAGTGTCACTTTTAATGTGTGCATGCACACTCACACCCAGTTTATTATGTATTATGTTTGTTTGACTTCTCCTTAATGCAAATATCTTATCAGCTGATCACATGACAGACACTCAATGCATTTAGATGTTCATACATGGCCGTACTGCTTGGAGCTGATAGGAAGGCCAAAATAACTTGTAAAACAACTCCTTAGAACCAAATTATACAGAAGAGCATCTGAATGGACACATCCAACCTTGAAGCAGATGGGCTACAGCAGCAGAAGACCACACTGGGTGCATATTCTATGAACAAATAACAAGGAAGCAGGAAACAACCAAAGCAGGACAAGAGAAGGAAAAAGACTTAATCTGATGAGTTGTGATTTTTGCTGCGACATTCAGATGGTAGGGTCAGAATTTGGTGTAAACAACATGAAAGCGTGGATCCACCCTGCCTTATATCAGCTACTCGGGCTCCTGCTGATGCTATAATTGTGTGGGGAATATAAATCTGCAGCACCTGCAGGATGCTCTCATATCATTAGACCAAAATCTCTAAGGAATGTTTCCAGCACCGTGTTGAATCTATGCCATGTAGAATTAAAGTAGCTCTGAAGGCTAAAGGGGATCCAAGTCAGTGCTCCAGGAAAACTAAAGAGTTATTCCCCTGGAGGCTTCGGTCAACCACAAGCTGAATTAAGCCTCCTATAGGAGTTTCCCATTACATATTTCCACTTGATCAAGTCGACTGATTCAAAGCTCTGGGACACATGGGATTAAGCTCAAGTATGTACAGATCGCATCATCTTATATAAGGTCAAGGGTTAGGTAACTTTATTTATACCCAAAGACAAGGTAAATTTGCTTTACAGAAAAATGACAGCATTTGGCATCCCTTTAAAAAAAAAAAACACACACACACACACACACACATACCTAGTAAATATATAAAGCTCACTGTGGCACATATATAGTAATTTTAATATTTCAAATCAAAAACAGTTCTTATTTAATTCAGTGACAGCAACGGG